CAGTTAATTTGAGAGCAACCCCCCCCCAATGCATGTACTTGCACCATATGTTCTCTGCATTAAATTGTACACAAGTGACTTTACATGTTTTGAAACAATCACCCCTAGTCTTCCAAGTTTTCCAATTAGCATCCCCAGGGCCTTTCCCCCAGCAAAACTGAGACAGACATTTCTAGAACGACTGTACCCTGGAACCTGTACTGCTTGTTTGTGAGTCAACTATACCAGCATTCCATAGTGGTTCCTGTCTGAAGCTTGGTTACCAGGTTCAAGGTCCACCTGACCATTAGTATCTGACAGTTTATTTAATAGACCTACACACACAACACCAGGTGGAACTCTGAACACACACCTGCAGCAACAATGTTCCTAGAACTAGGGAGAAGAGGAAAGGGAAATTCTAGCGGTTGAGCTGTACCTAAAGGAGAGGGCAGAATCCATGCACTGTGATTGAATGCAACACAGTTCCACTGACCCACCAATATGGGTTCTTCCAGGCCCCCTTGTGTGGCATAGCTGCAGACATGGCAAAGAAGGTGAGAACATTCTTTTCATCTGTCTTCACTGCAGAAAATACAGGACAGATACCTGTGCTTGAACCTATGTATTCAGGAAGGGAGTTTGACAAATTAAGGCAGATGAAAGATGAAATGCTCTGTTTCATTGACAAACTGGAAGTTAATACATCTCTAGGGCCAGATGGTATCCATCACAGAGTTTTCAAATAACTCAAATATGAAATTGCTGAGTTTCTACCAAAATATGGAACATGTCCTTAAGAACAGCCTCTGTACCAAAGGACTGAGAATGGCCAATGTAAGACCAATTTTTTAAAGGTATCTGGGGAATAAAGGAAATTATATGCCAGTTAGTTCAAAATCCATTCCAAGAGAATTGCTTGAAAGCTGTCATTAAAGACAGAATGGGCAAGCATATAGAAGAACAAGCACTGATAAGTAAGAATTAACATGGCTTTTGTTATGTTTTTCTGTCTCATGAACCTTTCTGAGTTCTCTGAGAGTGTCATTATACATATAGCAGTGGGGAATTGGTATGCATCATTTACTTTACAGAGTCCTTCACCAAAGACTCCTGAGCAAACTTAGCAGTCACAGGTTAAGAGGGCATATTTATTGAATAGAAAGCAGAAAGTGGGAATAAATGTAATTTCTCCTGTTGGAGGGATAGAAACAGTGAAGTCCCACATGGATCAGTACTAAGACCAATGCTTTTTAACTTATTCAGAAATGATCTGGAATTAGGAGTGACTAGTGAAGTAACCAGGTTTGTTGATGACACCAAACTATTTAGAGTGTTTCAAACCAAAAGGGATTATGAATTCCAAAGGTATCTTTCCAAACAAGGAGCATGGGATCAAAATGAGGAGGCCTGTTGCAGAAGGATTCTTTGCAAGGCTAAGGCTAAGGATGACCTGAGACTTGCCAAGAATATCAAGAGCAACAAAAAGGGCTTCTTTCAGCATGTAAATAGGAAGAGGAAGGGGAGACAAGTGGTGGGACCACTAAATAAGGAGGAAGGAGATCCAGTGACTGATATGAGGGAACAGGCACAAATGCTAAATGACTATTTTGCCTCTGTGTTCTCCCCAAAGCAGGATGGGGGATATCTGCATAGGAGATTAGATGAGGCTGGGGACAGGGGCACAGATTAGAGTCACCCCCCTTGAAGTCGAGGGGCTCCTCAGGGCATTGGACATTACAAAGGTGCCAGGCCCTGAGGGGTTACACCCGAGAGTACTTAGAGAGTTGGCAGGGGTTCTCTCACACCCGCTGGCCTCCATTTTTGAGACCTCGTGGAGAACAGGTGAAGTTCCAGAGACTGGAGGGTGGCATCAGTGGTCCCAATTTTCAAAAAGGGTAGTAGAAGGGACATGGGAAATTACAGACCGGTTAGCCTTACATCCATTGTAAGAAAAACAATGGAAAGGCTCATAATAGAGATCTAGCGAAGCTAGATAGGGAAGGGAGGCTGACAGTCACACAACACGGCTTCCCCAAAAACAGGTCCTGCCAGACAAACCTTGTGGAATTCTATGACAAGGTTTCGAGATGGCTAGATGGAGGGGATGCAGTGGATGTCGTATACCTGGATTTCAGCAAGGCCTTTGACAAAGTGCCCCATGATATCCTGGTGGAGAAACTGAGGAGTTTTGGGATACACCAAAGCACTGTCTGGTGGATTAGGGCATGGTTGACTGACCGAAAGCAGAAGGTAACCATTAGCCGGGAATCATCGGGATGGCGGCCAGTGACAGGCGGGGTCCCCCAGGGCTCTGTCCTGGGGCTGATCCTGTTTAATCTTTTCATTACCGACATGGAAGAAGAGATGAACAGTCTGCTGATCAAGTTCACAGACGACACTAAAACTGGAGCAATGGCCACAACTGAGGAGCAGGTACTCCAGATCCAAAAGGATCTGGACAGACTATGGAAGTGGGCAGGGGACAACAGGATGGCGTTCAATGTGGATAAGTGCAAGGTCTTGCACTTCAGACATAGGAATAGCTGTCATAAGTACAGGTTAGGTGACAAGTGGCTGGAGAGCAGCACCTGTGAAAGGGACCTCAGGGTGCTGGTTGACTGCAGGCTAAACATGAGTCAGCAGTGTGATGCGAACGCCACCCTTGGTTGCATAGCCAGAAGTGTGGCTTCTAGATCGAGAGAGGTATTACTGCCACTCTACATGACTCTGGTGCAACCGCAACCGGAGTATTGTGCTCAGTTCTGGGCCCCATTACAGAAAGGATACAGCCAGGTTAGAGTCAGTGCAGCGTAGGGCCACAAGGTTGGTGCCCGGTTTGCAGGGGATGCCGAATGAGGCGAGACTGAGGGAACTGGGTCTCTTCAGCCTGGAGAAGAGGAGACTCAGAGGGGATATGTTGGCGACATACAGGTATGTGAGGGGATGTCACATGGAGATGGGTAGAGACCTGTTCTCCCCTGCAGAGGAAGGCAGGACGCGCTCTAACAGAGCAAAGCTCAGGGAGCCAAGGTTCCATTTAGATGCCAGGAAGCACTTCCTGACAGTCAGGACCCCGAGGGTGTGGAACGGGCTTCCACGAGAGTTCGTTGAGGCCCCATCGGTGGAGGTGTTCAAGGATAGGCTGGATGTCCACATGGTAGGCATGTTGTGAGCAGAGCCGGCTGGTGCCAGAGGTCAGACTAGATGGCCCGGGAGGCCCCTTCTGACTCGCTCTGTTTGTATGTTTCTAAGTATAGGCGGATGTGCTCTTTTAGTGACTAATCAAGGAAGAGATCTTAGGGTTGTGCTGGACAGCTCAATGAAAATGTTGATTCAGCATGTGGCTGCTGTGAAAAACTCCATGTTATGCGTAACTACGAAAAGTATTGAAGATAAAAGTGCTAATGCCATACTAGCCTTATCCAAATTTATGATGCGTACAGTTCCAGTTGTCAAAGCAAAGAAAGAGCATTGCATTATTTATTTATTTCATTTATATACCACCCAATAGTTCAAGCTGTCTGTTTAAAAGAATTAAACAAAAGTTTAAAATGACACGCACAACAATAAAAAGAAGAAAATTGTGACTGTAATTGCCTTTATTCAGCACAGAAGTGCAGCAGCAGTACAAAAATAAAATGAAATGTATAAAAACAAACTTGAAATGCTGCGATTGTTTAATTTAGAGGAAAAATGAGTAAGATAGATAGAGGTCTACAGTATTGTGCATGGTGTGCAGAAAGTGGATAGTGGGATATTTTTCTCCCTGTCCCTGGGGTTATCCCATGAAGCTTATTGGTAGCAGATTCAGCATCGTTAAAACTAGGGAATGCACTATCGTAAGAAATAGTAATGGACAACAGTTTGGACAACTCTAAAGGGAGTTAGACAAAGTGAATGGCTACTAGCTCGGATGGTTACATGGCACCTCCAGTAGCAGAGTCAGTATGCCTGTGTTCACCAGTTGCTGGGGAACATAGGTGGGAGCATGCTGCTTCAGTTGTATCTGGCTTATGAAACCCTGTGAAGAGCTGGTGGGCCACTGTGTGAACATAATCCTGGACTAGATGATCCAGTATGGCTCTCTTTGTTTTGTTTTTGTTGTCTACATCGTGATTTTCCAGAGGGGTAGCTGTGTTACATCTGTTGCAGTGAAAACAGCCAAGTCTTGTGGCACATTAAATTAAACAGACTTTAAAATACTTTATTTCATATTTAACATGCCAAAAGGCTCTTTGCTCTTTTTACGCTGCAGTTGTGTCCTCTTCACAAACAGTTGCTCACACCTCTCAAGCCTGCTGCACAAGTTGGGCAGAATGTTAGGAATAACATTACTCTGAATAAGCAGGCATTGAGTGCAGCTGTTCATCTTTCCAGAGACACTGACACCCTAAATGGCTGCAAGGGTGGCCACATGTCCTCGACTTAGCCAGAGGACTGCCCTCTAGTTTGAAGGCATGCCCTATTCGAAGTCCAAGCCTGATTTAAATAAAGCACGATCAGAAGAACAAGCCCCAGACCTCCTACTCGCCCACCACCAGCACCTGGACAGCGACTGAGCCAGGCACATCCATCACCTGGTCTCGGTTTTCCACTAGATGGTGAAATGCACCGTATTTCTGCTGAAATTATGACAGTTCGTGCTAAATCTTCATCTATACATAGGCGTAAGGCTATGCAGATATCATGCAAATCAGTGCCCTCTTCTGGGATGGCGCATGGCCTCTCTTGGGACAATTCCCCAGCGGCCACTCTGGCGAACTCGCCGGACTCCTCTCCGTGCACACGTGCACAGCTGGCTCGGCGTTGCACCGCCGCTCCCCACTTCGGAGCGCCAGTGGCAGCAGCAACAGCTCCTCTTCAGAAAAGGGTTTTAAAGTTAGGGAAGCGGCGGTCTCCGCCTCCACTAGCCACCTATTGGCCGGCTCGGCTCATCATTTCCCCGCTAGGGAAAGGGCGGGGCGAAGTGACGCCCCGGAGACTGGCGGCTCCTGCCTGGGCTGTTACCTAAACGGGAAGGCAACGTGAAAGGACCGCGGAGAGGCAGGAGCTGAGCGAGCCTGGAGCGCGTGGACTTTAGGCAAGAGGACTTTGCCCGGGGGAACCGCGGAGGCCGCGGCGGCGCCTGCAGCGCGCGGCTCGGATCCTTGACCCAGCCCGATCCCTTTCATCCCCCGATCGTTCGTTTGCTCTGATCTCCCCGTTTTCCTCCTTCTTTCCTTCCCCCCCTTCCCCCGCTGTTTTCCCTTCTTCTTTCTTTTCCCTCCTCCTCCTCCTCCTTTTGTTAAAAAAGACCCATCCTGCCAAACAAAGGAAGCTGTCGGGATTTTTCTATGTGCGGGAGACATGCGTTCGGTCAGGAAGAGGTGGACTATCTGCACAATAAGTATCCTCCTGATCTTTTACAAGACAAAAGAGATCGCAAGAACCGAGGAGCACCAGCAGACTCAGCCCAGCGGGTAAAGGCACAGCGTCGGGTCCTCACATGCATTTGACAAAGGGGTGGGGAGGGGCGGCAGGGGGGAGCGGGGATGCGCGCGCGCGGCGGCACGGTGCCGGCGAGGTGCCGGCTTGCTTCCCCCTCCTACCTCGCCGGCTTTTTCTTCATCTGACGGCCTCTCGCCCCTCTGTCCTGGTGTGTGCGAGGGGTGGTCCGCAGCCTGCGCGCTCGCCCTGGCATAACGGATCGGGTGCAGGAGATGAACTAGGCACCGTTTAGGAGATAACGGTGGAACATCTGGAGAGAAGTTAGGAGCAGAGAAGGTGCCCGGTTGCACGCAGGGTCAAACAGCCGCTTAATCCCGTTCCACGCGCCGGCCGAGCGATCGAGAAAATATTGCGAGGCAGGCAAGGGCGTGTTTTGATTCGGAAGAGCGGGAGGTACGGCAGCAGCGAACGTTTGCAGTGCAGAAAGCGGTGTCACGCCGGAGTTGCCTCGTTGTGGTGCTGCCGGGCGGGGAGTGGCATGACTCTCCGAAGTTTATTTGGCAACAGAGCATTTCGTTAAGACGAGGCAGCCTAATATCAGCCTGGCGGCCACCGGGGGTTGCTTCCGAGTAACTGTGCGTCGGTTCGTGGAGATACAGCTGAGACTTCAGGGTAACTGGCGGTTGTTCTGCTTATCGCTGGTCCCCTCCTACCATCCCTCCGCCGTTAGTGGCTCTCGCGTAGTCCGATCCTGAACACGGGCACTCCAGGAAGCAGCGATCTCCAGGCGTCGCAGCGATCGGAACGTGCTCTTTAGGAAGCGTGTTTGGGATTTCAGTCTCACCTGGGAGGTTCGGCTAACTTAGCTAGCTGATTTAATGACGTGTAGGAGAAGTTCCCCGGGACTATAAAGAGACGCTTATCTTGTCTCCGTATCTCCTGTCTTGCAAAGAAACCTGCTCTCTTACAAAGAGCGCTGTTTCTTTCTTGTCACTGCTTTTTCCTGTTGGTCTTACAAGAGGAAACCACCAAAGCTTTCCACTTGGATCTGTCTTTTATCCACACCGGCCAATGCCTTTTTTTTTTTTAAACAAACTTCAGAATAGCTTTGACTAAGACCCCCTCTATTTCTTCCTGAAGTTCTAAAATAAATAATAAAAAAAAAAACTGTGGGTTTGCTCGAAGCATCCTAGGCGTGACCATATTGCATTGCCACTAGAGAAGGCAATCAGCCGTCGTAGTGGCGTCTTGGGGGTGTAGTGGTTTGGTAACTGTCTCAACGAATGCCCCGGGCACAAGCGGAATATCGCTGCTGCATCATTTCCTCGCTGCTTGCAAAGCTTGTCAAGCACGGCAGTAGCTGGTGTTAAAGCAAGCTTGATACCAGCTTGTGGAGGGGGCGTGTGCATGCCTCGGGGAGGGTGGAGGGCACGACGTGCTCCGGAAATCCAGCAGGATTCGTGTGCTCACCAAGAGGTGAGGACCAGACCGCTTGGAGTCAGTGCACGCGCAGGGGTCGGCGTGCCTCTTCCTCGCTCGTTGCGTTGGGGCTCGTGGCTAACAATGTGCAGCCAGGCGCCCTCACTTGCTCTCTGCCTCGCCTTGCAGCGCACGCCTGCTGGTGCCTGGAGGGGAGTCTGTGCGGGTTCCTCGGGGGCCAGTGGGTGGAGGGAGGGAGGCCGATCAGGAAAGAGGGCATCATTCTCAGGAGGGTGGCTTGGAGTCATGGGGAGGCGAGGAGGGATCCCCGCTTTATGTTCTTCCAGCTCCCCATCTTCATGCCACGTTTGCCCTTCCTAATTAGAGGGGCCCTCTCCTCCTGTTCATTGTGTGTGGAATTGCAGCCTGCACCGTCGCTTTCCCTCGATCGATCGTCGGGACTGCCGCCACTGATTCGCCCTGCTTACGAAAATGGGGAGGGAAGTAAGACGTCCCAGGAGTAGGTGCAGTGCTGGGGAAACGCCAGTGCCTCGCCGCACCGCTTGATCTGCGCCCCGTCCCCTCTCCTGCGAAGCCCCTTTCCAGGCAGCCGCGTAAAAAGGAAAGGCATCGTCAGAATGAGGGGTGCACCACCAGGCCAGATGTACACACAGCTGGCCGCTGTGGGAGAGGTGGCTTGAGCCAAAGCGGCAGTGGTGAGGCAGCTCTGAGCTGAGAGAGAGAAGAAAAGGAGGAAGGCAACGATGATGAGGAGCAGGGAGAAGAAAAGATAAGAGGGTGTTGTATTTTCTCTTCAGTCATCGCCTGCAACCTCACGCATTAGTCCCTGTGGTGAGGCAGGATTCCAGATAAACAAACTGCCCTGGTTTTTGTTAAGAGCCCTTCTTCTCCCGGCCCGAAAATCATGCTCAGCTCTGCCAGTGCTTCCCCTTTTCAACTCTTAAGGGCAACTCTAGAAAAGGATGAAACAATGGGTTCTGCTTAGCATAGCCCCACTTGGAATAGACCCACTGGAATCCTGCCATATTTGGAACGGGAAATGGTGGGGTCAAAGCCCAACAAATTCCAGTGGGTCTTTTCTAAGTATGATTAAGCCTGGATCCATTGCATAGTTCTGAAAACATGTTACCCGCCCAGGTTTCCTGTTTTGAACTTGCTTGCAAAATTAAAAACTTTCAGATAGTATGGCTGTTGCTTGAAGGTTAGGTCATGTGGCCTTTTGTTTCCTGTACAGATTTACTTAAGATCAAGTGCCTCATGGTGACACATAAAGTGTGGTTTTGTGGTTGCTCTGAAAAACATCTAAGCCTAACACAGGCTCTCTCCTCAACTGTCCTTTCACAAGTGTGAGTTAATATCCCTCTCCCCAATCCTTTGAATGCATGTGGGTAGGAGGAGAAATGGTAATCTTGCGTGATTTGGGTGTGCAGAGCTGAGAGTTGGTTGTTATTAATTAAGGAGTACCTGCAGTGCTTAAAGAGTACTTAAGGGTAGAACAGGGACTCGCAGAACATAACCGAATCTTCCAAAGGAGCTGGAGCCAAGCTTCCTACTGGTCTGTGCCAAGGCGCTTTGCCAAACACACGCACGCTCAGTCACAGCCATACAGGGGTCATCGTTGCCTGCCTCCTCATCACTGTTCCAGTTTTTCCAATGTGTGCTTGTTTGCTTTTTTTTTTTTTTAAGCTCTTTGCTTTCCCCTTCTCCATCTCCTAGCGAAGTAGCCTCCTGGAACCTGTTGCCTTCCAGATGTGTTGGACAACTCCCAGAATTGGCCTTGCTGGCTGGGACTCATGGGAGTAGAAGTTCAAAACATGGGGAGGAAGGCATGTTGGCTCAGTTTCCTTCTTTCTCAGGTGGAGATCCATGAACAGTAGAGAACATGCCTTAAAACACCATTTTTTACTAGCCTGAGATACTGGAACTTCTGAGCACCTGCTTTTAAGCACCTTGTGTGACTCAGTGGGATTTTCTAACCAGTAGTTTTGTTTATTTGCTTTCTTTTTCTTTGTAATGATTGATTTGTTGGAGAGCTATAGCAGTGTTGCTACAGTCCATAGTTCATATTCACCATTGATAGCGGTTTGTCAATATCCATCAGGTGCCATTGATAGAGTTTGTCAAGATCCATCATGTGTTTTCATTCTTACTTCACACTTGTGCAGTTTATACTTGAAGTACACTAGCATAATATTGTTCTGAGTCATTTGCTAACTGTACAAAGATGTTTAATTAGTTTTATGAAACTTGTTTTTACTTAGTGTGAGCTAAAGTCAATGAAACATGCATTAAAATATGAGATAACTGTTTCTTATCTGTCAATGTGGTTTATCACTTCTGAATAAAATCGTGATTATCTGGCCTAAGACAGTTCTAGTGATAATTTGTCCTGAATTTCAGCCGTCTTTTGAGATGCCTCTTAATGATATTCGTTGTAAAATTATTTGGAGTGAATGCTTTAGTTTTACAAGATTCCTAAGCAGGATAAAAGTGGAATCTCCTTGATGTAAAGCCTAACTCCTAATTTGCAGTTTGTCACTTGAATGCATCCCTGTGCTATAGTTTTAGTTGGAAGTAAGGCCGGCTGAACTCAGTGCATGGACTAAGACTGGAAAAATGAAGAATGTTAGACACGGAGGAGCCACTGATTTGATGCTTTGGTCAACTTCTACACAGATCTGGAAAGATGTTCTTATCTTGAATACAATATGTTGCTTTACACAAGAAAAAAAGTTTGTTCTGAAAGCCTAGCCTCATGTAGATAAGACGTTTGATGAGTTTCCAGATGACCTGTTTTACTGAATTTGTTGTTGGGTTCCTGGCTTACCTTTTTAGAGTAAATTTCCTTCACTATTTTAATCAGAAATAGTCTTTTCTAACCAAAGGATTATCTGATAGTGTGAGTTAAAAAAGGAAGAGTAAGCAATGAATAAAGGAAGTGAGATTCTGCATTAAAAAAAAAGACCTCAGAAGAGTCATAAATGTAGTGTTTAATAGTACAACTAAAAGCCAGAGACACCATCCAGCTAAAGTTAAACACTCTGAAGTCTCATTTCTGGAGGTTTTAAATAGTGCTTTCCTTGATAATGGGATGATTCTGCAAAGATCGCTAGTACAGTTTCACAGCTGTCCTATCTGAAACAGATTTTAAATGACAGGTGAACATAAAACTGGGCATACCAGAAATGAGATGCCAAACACATCAAGAGCATCTTTGTGAACTGGGATTTGGAGAAATGTCATAGAGCAAAACATCAGAAACTTGTGGGATCCCCACATGATTTAAGGCTGTTTTAATGCAGCATGATGCATATCTCCTTTACTATAGATGTTAAGATTTCAAGTCATAGCACTTTTAGGGCAAAAACATTATGGAAAGCTAACCTGCTCTCTATGCCACTTCTTGAAAGTTCCTAGTGACCTGCAGTTCAATATAAGCATGACTTTTTTCTACTGCAATAATTGCCTATACCATGGCAGATTTTGTTCATTTTTATTCTGAAGTCTCTACTGTGGTGCTACAGAGAGATACGGAAAGAAAAGCAGTGATAGCTGGCCTTTTTGTTTGTTTTTTCTCTCATTACAAAATAAA